AACCGGTCCTAGGACAGAGCCCTGAGGAACCCCCCGACTGATCGTCTGAACCCCTGATGCACTTTCCCCAACACCAACGAACTGATCTCTCCTTGAGAGTAAAGATGAAAACCAAAATAATGGCGTATCGCGAATACCATATTGATCTAGCTTCCGCAGCAGTATCTCTTGATCAACACAATCAAAGGCTTTTGAAAGATCGCAGAATACCGCCGCAGCCAGCTCCTGATCATTAAGGCTAAGGTAAAGTCTCTCTAAAAAGGAAAAGACAGCATCGTTAGTGCTTTTAGCAAATCTGCCTTCTTTATCAGCGATGACGTCAATGGCTTCTTCTCGTTTGATTTTTACTTAATAATTTCAACGCTATCGCCTATATTTGTACTGAAATAACATGCTTGAATTGAGTTGCTTGAAATCTGAAAATTCTGATTTTTGAAATCTGTTCTATATTGAAATGGAATTGTTGTTTCATTATTACCTAGAAAGAAGCATATTAGAAAAATCCATATCTGAATTATTTTCTTGCAATGCTTTGATTCCGATAATTCCATCAAAATAGTCATGGAAATTATACATTATCATTTCAATATTGTTTTGAATATATTATTCTTGTAAAATTGGGACATTGATTTTTCCTTGGGTTTTTCTTGTACCCATACAAGTTGAAAACTTATTTTGTGAATTAATTATAGAATTTGAAAAATATTTTTCTGCGATTGAGGGCCTTATTAAAGAATCATGACTTTCTGTGTCAATTAATAATTTACGCGGTGGATAGTCTATTTTAATAAAAGGTAGTTAGTTGATCTGATAAGCACTTAAAGTTAATGTTGACTCATTGCATCCAAGGCTGGTAACTGAAAATTTTTCGTCTTGATTTTCTTCAGAATTTGTCTCTTCGTAATAATTTTGATTTTCGGAACATTCTTTGGTAAAATTACTTAATTTTAGGCGCAAAATGGAGAAGCAGCAGAGAAACTATAATACCCTCGTTCCATTTTCCAATTATTCAAGAGTTCATTCCATTATTCAACAGCGTCGGTGATCATTTTGTTACTAGACGAAAAAATGAAGTTGATCAAGATAGCGTAGATATTTCGCCCCTTTTTTTCCTTGTTCGCCCTTGCTGTTATTTGTGGTAAGCACATTTTTATAGGCAAATAAACAATTCAAGTATTCAATTTATAGAAGCGGACATGGGCTTTAAAATAAATACCTTCGATCAGGAAAATTCAGATTATATAGCAAGTATTAAGGTGATGTGCAGACTATTATAAGGAACGAAAAGCTTTGAAAGTTAGTCAGTAGTAACACGATTATATTCAATATAATAGTCAAAGCCTGGAGTTTAGCGAATCTTACGATCGACTGGTCAAATTGAGAAAGAAAATACCTGAATTGTTTAGACTTCAGTTATTGACTATGAACATTAATTTAAAAATAATGTGTAGACTTAGTAAGTAGCGATAAAAAAGGTTCTTAATAATATCCAGTATCTAAGAATTAAAATAAGTTGTCAGTGGATTACCTACCTAGGGAAAGTTTAGGCATTCAAGAAGGATCATAAGTGAAATTATTATTATTATTTTTTCAGGTTATTCATAAGCATGTGAACATATCGGAAAAAATTGCAGAACAAGGGAAAATGAACAATGGAAAAACGGCAAAAGATCAAAACGACGATTTGGTCACAAGGAAAGATTTGCAAGATGAAGTTAATACTTTGATGTTTGCGGTATGCCATTAATGGGCCAACTTATTTTCAATAATTCACTGTGAGGCCAACAAATCTCTCGGAAATAACATTCCATGTGTTTTAAAATTAAGGGCTCCTATCAATGATTCAATCAGAAGATTGAGTTTTCATTGTCTCGTAGGTAATACTTGATTTTATTATCAAAATGTATTCGTTGACTTTTGGGTATATTTTTGTTAATATTTGATTTAATTCATTAGGCTGTAAAATAGTTTATTTGCAACCATATATGTAATCTTGGCATTACTGGTTTTTTAAAAATTTGGAAGTGTCACATTACATGTGTCACTTCCCTCTTCGATTTCCCTATTCGACTTCCCTCACCGATTTCCCTCACTCTAATTTATTTACCTTTGCTGGCAACAATGAGAACATGTCAGGTAAAAAACGTCAAAACAGTGAATGACACATTTTGGCATGTTTGTTTTATTTTTATTTAATATTAAAAAAATTAAATGACTATAATCATATTAATGGTGTGCTTGCAAATAAAATAGTATATAAACCTCGGAGGAAAGTTTTCATTTCTGTCTCGAGATTAATAGTCAATCTCGACGCTTCGCGTCTCGATTGACTATATAAATCTCTCGACAGTAATGAAACACTTCCCTACTCGGTATGTAATATACTATTAATACATTTCCAATTGTGTTTATTTATTATATCATTCACTAGACATATTCTATCCTGTAATCCTAGTAATACATTATCCATCACTCTTTGGAAGGTTGCTGGTGCCTTCTATAATCCAAAGGGCATTCTGTTAAATTCGTAATGACCATTTTCATATTATATACTGTCTTGGGTATCGAATTTTCATGCATATCGACCAAAACCAGAGGCCAAATCCAGTGTCGTAAAATAATTACTTCGACCAAGTCGGTCTAATATATCAGTGATATTAGGTAGTGGATATCTATCATCAATAGTTTTTTTCGTTTATCTTTCGATAATTAAAGACCATTCTTCATTTTTGTATGCCTACGGCATCTTTTTTGTTAGGTAATGTCCACACAGGGGATGACCAGGGACTACAGGATGGTTTGATTATGTTATCTTCTAACATTTTGTTTATTTGAGAATTTACTCCTTGTTTATGCACATGTGAATATCTATACGTATTCGTGTGCACTGGTATTTCATCTGTTGTATTAATTTCATGTTTAACTTGATTGGTAAATGTTAATTTTTCATTTGGCTTGTGGAAATTTTTAGGAAAAGCTTCAACTACATGTTTTTCATCAAATTCCTCTGAGTTTAAATGACTGATACGCAGTAACTCTAAGGAGTCACTTGCATATTCATCATTCTGTAAAGGAGTCATTTGTTCTATATTAAATATCTCAAACTGTTCATCAGCATAACGTAAACTTATATTCGCCAAGTTATAAATAATATATGAGAGAATAATAGGCTTATTCATTTAAAGTTGTGTAAAGTCCATCGATTTTAATCTGATACTCCAAAAAAATGTGAGCTGGTGGCTTCCTACATTAGAACGCCAATGGTCACCTGACAGGTGTAAGTGTTTTTGCCATATACTTCACCCCCTCGCTCCTCATACGGAAAGTGTCATGTTAAAAACGACGGACGATACTTCTGAAGGCACCATCTTATTCATGACTGTTGTTATTGTCGAGGGAATATAATATGCTTCATTTTTTATTGGAGGTGTAAGAATTTCAACGCCATCAGCTATATTTGTACTGAAATAAAATACTGGAATTGAGTTGCTTGAAATCTCAAAATTCCAATTTTTGAAATTCTATATTGAAACGGAATTGTTGTTTTATTATTACCTAGAAAAAAGCATATTAGAAAAATCTATACTTAAATTATTTTCTTGATTCCAATAATTCCATCAAAATAGTCATGGAAATTATACATTATTATTTCAATATTGTTTTAAATATTATATTCTTGTAAAATTGGGACATTGATTTTTCCTTGCGTTTTTCTTGTACCCATACAAGTTGAAAACTTATTTTGTGAATTAATTAGAATTTGAAAAATATTTTTCTGCGATTGAGGGCCTTATTAAAGAATCATGACTTTCTGTGTCAATTAATAATTTACGCGGTGGATAGTCTATTTGAATAAAAGGTAGTTGGTTGTTTCGATAAGCACTTAAAGTTAATGTTGAATGGGGGTATATACTCAGTCCTTTTTAGGTGTTATGTTAATAGGTTGATTTGAAAACTGTTGCTTCTGTGGTACATATAGGGTGTTTTTTGTGTTTATTAAGGTTTTTGTTGAGTATGTTTGTTGTGAGCGAAATTGCGTGTTTTTATTTTTGAACTTTGAAAAATTTTGATTTTGATTTTGATTAGTAGAATGATTAATTGACTAACTGAATTTTATGTGGTTTTGGTGAGGTTTTGTTTTGGTATCCAGTGATCGCCTATGATGATGATGATGATGATAATGATAATGATGAAGATAGTTCTGGTATATATTACTTCAGCCTGACTTCAACCATTGATATTTATATCAAATAGATATTTTCTAGATAAGGTTTGCACGAAGTAGAGGCGATGCCTTTACAGGTCTACCTGAACTACTAGCTGTCTCATTTTATTTTCTACATTTGAAAAAGAGACAAATATACGATTTACGCCAACTGGCGTCTCGTTCTGAAAATAAGGTGCAACAGTTTTTCGACTTGCTTGAAGATTTTTGTTGTTTTAGTTTAACGCAAAATACTCCACCGAACACGTCATCGCACTTTTCCGAGTGAAAATTGCGCGGAAAACTACTTAATTTGCTAGAAGACTGGCGGGTTATACATATGAGCTTGTGCAAACAGAAAAACATTTAAACATATAAAATATTATATGTTTCTAATCAAGTTCTCATGGTAGTTTGATAAACTAGTTCTAGCTTTCCGAATTTCCCAGTCAAAATTAAATTTTTATAAATATTTCACAAACTGGAACAATTCTGGGGAAAGTATAGTTTCTTAAAATCAATACCTAACCTTATCGTATAGTTAACAATCTTTTGTTTGAGGAAAACTTCAGGACTTCTGTAAAATTGAGAACGTGTAGGTACCTATCAGTAACTTGGAGTTGCACAAAATAAAGATTGCTCATCATTCTTATATAGCTGATTTGATGCTACAGGCCTTATAAATAAGTGAAGAGATCGGAGTTAAATTGTTGGTTTAAAAGGTGTAAATGTAAATACGTCAATTTCTGTGATTAATAATATGCAACTATCTAAAAAAACAAACATTATAAACAAACAACAAATCTCACGTTAATTATGGTTTTTTTTTCAATGTCAATTGAACAAGTTGTAAATTATTATTAAATTGTTTTTAAAATAGTTTTAACTTGATCATCAAGATGTTAACAATCACAGCGTGCATTATAATTGCCTTTGTTTTATTGTTGGTTCTTCTGCATTTTATCATGCATCGAATGAAGGACACGACGAAATATTTGAAGAATATTCCTGGACCCAAACCGATTTTTCCTATTGGAAATATGTTGGATTTTATTAAAGGATCTACTGGTAAGCAAATTTGAACTCGAACATGGACAAGTTGTTTAAAAAAAGATTGACAATTTCTGGACTAGTTTCCTCTGGGGCCTAGATACCATGTTATATACAGTTCTTTCCTCTGCTTATAGTTGTTCTGGAAAATCTGCAAGCCTATTTGAAAAAATACGGTGACACGGTTATCGTTCACACTAGTTCCTTTAGTTGGATGGTAGTCACTGTGGACTATGAATTTTGCGAGTTATTGTTCAATTCCAATACTCACATAGACAAAGCACGCGAGTACGAGTATTTGAACAACTGGCTTGGAAAAGGACTTTTAACGAACAAAGGTCAGTTTACCAAACTATCATTTTAAAGCCATTGAAAAATAACTTAATTTTAGGCGCAAACTGGAGAAGCCGCAGAAAAGTTATAATACCCTCGTTCCATTTTTCAATTTTTCAAGAGTTCATCCCTTTATTCAACAGCGTCGGTGATAATTTAGTTACTAAACTAAAAAATGAAGTTGGTAAAGAAAGCCTAGATATTTTGCCCCTTGTTTCCTTCTATGCACTTGACGTTATTTGCGGTGAGCCAATTTTTACAGGCAAAAACAATATATTTGAGTATTGATTTAATAGAAGCGGCCATGGGTGTTAAAATAAATGCCCTCGATCAGAAAAATTCAGATTATATAGGAAGTATCAAGGAAATGTGCAGGATCGTTGTTGAACGGACGTTTTCCTTATTCAACCCTTTAGTTTATCCATTGACACCAAACTATTACAAGGAACGCAAAGCTTTGAAAGTTAGTAACACGATTTTATTCAATATAATAGTCAAAGCCCGGGAGTTTAGGGAAATCTGCCCAATGAGTGGAATCAAATTGAAAAAGGAAATAGTCAATTTGTTTTTATATTTCCATCTATCAGTCCTAAGCTTCAGGAATTGACTATAAACAATAATTTGAGAATAATTATTGGATTATCTAGGGACAATTTACGCATTCAACAAATATCTTGAAAACTCTGAAAGTGAATTTATTGTAGTTTTCTTTCAGGTTATTCATACGTATGTAAACGATGTCATATCGGAAAAAATTGCAGAACAAGAAAAAATGAGCAATGGAAAAAACACAAAAGATAAAAACGACGATTTGGGCGTCAAGAAGCATTTGGCATTCTTAGATTTACTCTTAGAAGCCCGTATTGATGGCGAACCATTCACAAGGAAAGATTTACAAGATGAAGTTAATACTTTTATGTTTGCGGTATGTCCTTTATGATGAAACTTAATTTAATTTAATTTCCTGTGAGGCCAACAACTCTCTCGGGCTGCAAGAGGTTATCAATATTGTTAGGTCTAACGATAATACACTTTAGATTTCAGGTAGCCCCCATGAAAAATATTCCAATGGGGCCAAATCAGGAAATTTGGCCGGCCATTCTATTAGAACCTATATTTACGGACCAGGAGAGTATAATGTCGTTGTTATGCATTGTTGATACCAGAAGTTAATATTGGGAATGTCTAGATCATCTGAAATTACAGCAAGAGTTTTTGAGTTTACATAACTACTTATCCCTATTTATTCAGCAGTGGTTAACCAGAAGAATTACTTACTTAGATTTAGCTTTGGTTGCTTGCTTTGCATCAGCTTCTATTTAATTTAACATATTCTTCCAATTTTCCGTGCTCTAAGTAGGTTTGAGCAGCAAATTACCCAAGTCTAAGTAACAAATCAAAATTTATCGAGCTCTGCATCACTGCATGGTTTTTTATTTTTTTTTCAATTTTAGGGCCACGACACCTCATCTTCCGCAATCAGTTTTTGTTTATTTATGCTGGCCACAAACCTCGATGCACAGGTAATGGCTGAACAACCAAAAAAAAAAAAAAAAAAATTGAAGACAAATGATTTATTTTAGCAAAAAGTTATCGAAGAACAAGTTGAAATTTTCGGTTCTGATCTAAAATCAGCTTCACCCACGTACAAACAGCTCAACGCAATGAAATATCTGGATTTGGTTATCAAAGAAACCCTTAGGCTTTATCCTGCGGTGCCGTTTTTTGGTAGAAGCTTGGCCCATGATTTGGAATTTAGTAAGTAATTATCGACGTCAATTTTGTATAAAATCCACAACAAATCAATTTCTCCTTTTATAGAAGGATCGTTATACCCAAAAGGTACAACCGTAGCAATATTTCTGTACGGATTTCAACAAAATGCCGATTATTTTCCTGAGCCAGATAAATTTATCCCTGAGAGATTCGAGTCAACGAATAATACAAAATTTCCCTATAGTTATACACCGTTTAGTGCTGGACCTAGAAATTGTATAGGTAGGAGTGCCAATTTGAATTCGCATTATTGTTATGACGCAATTCCTATTTTAAGGAAAAAAATTCGCAATACTGGAGATGTTGTCTGCTGTTTCAAAAGTGGTGAGAAACTTTGAACTTTTGCCAGCCAAACCGCATCATAAACTTCAATTAGCCTCTGAGGCTATATTAGTTTCGAAAAATGGAGTCAGGATATCTATACGAGACAGAACATTACGCTCATGAAGCTTCAAATTGTGTAAAATATTAATAAAACGGAAAAATATAGCAGATTTTTTGATTTGAGTTGGTGAATGCATTTGATTAGTGTGTCGTTATAGATTGATAGCCTTTACCTAAACAAGTTTTCAGTCCATTCACGTTTTCATCCAAAGACTCGAGATTCAGACTCATAATATTATCCACGTCAGTATTCTATAATCACTTCTACGTCAAACTTTGAAGAGGCCAAATGGCAGCTTGATAATTTTGAATTTAAAAAAAAAAATCTTCAGCCTTCAGGGCCATCATGCCCTGAATATGTCTTCTGACAAGTTCCATAGGATGAAGTGGTGGCTTACTGAATCGAATGCCATTTGCAGATCGAGGACGATGACGTTGTAAGTCTTGTGGTATAAACGACAGGTCCGAAGGTAGTGGACTAGCAGGAAGTCGTTTGCTAAGGTGCTATCAATCCCTCCAGTGGAGCCACGCAGGTAAATGTTCAACGCAGTTAGGCAGCGCAGTCTGGCATGGAAGATACGGTGTAGCAGGCGCTAGATCGCTGATGCAATTGTAATGGGCCGCCAGTTCCTCGGGTCTTTTCGGACACCGTGCTTAGGGAGGAGTAGCGTTCGGTGCTTGGTCCAAGAGGTGGGCTGGACTCAATGGACAAAAATGGCACTGAGGTCGATGCTCCATGTAGAGGCAGGAACCTTCTTGACGTCCGCGACGGTAATATTTCCTTTCTTGGCCAGAAATTGATATGAAAGTTTCTTCATCGAAAGTGTCCCACCAGGAACGCTAATTCATTTTTCCTTTCTCACCTCAAAAACTTTTGGACGTCGAAATTAACGAGACTCATGGCACCGCCCCATAAGGGAAAACCCCTATGGCGTTCCCCGATTCACACGAGCGGGACCAGCGTTTCGAAGATGTTTGTAGATATTGTCAACTACTTAAGTAAATACCACTCTGTACATCAATTTTACTAAAGTGTGTCGACGAGTCAGCATTTATTTGGTATAAATACCGCGCCAAAATCCATTACCGTCAGACTAAGGCTAGTGCACAGTACCTCAAATGGGAAAAGCCCCTCTAGCTAAGTCTCCTCCCAGTGCAAACTACCTTTAATGGAAATCACCCTTCTGGACCTGTCTCAAACCCAGCTTCAGTCTTCAGTCACGCCAAGTGTACAAAGTGGCCTATAAGTAGCACGTCCCTCCGTAGAAGAAACGTCATGATACTATTTCTAGGGTAATATTATTATTATTCAATACGTCATAATCTTATTATGCCTATACCAAGCGAGTTTCTCTCTACCTGAACCCCACCTACGCCCCCAGGTCACGCTCCTGTTGTGACGTCCCAGGACGAAACGTATAGGGGTTGTGATATATTCCTCTTAAAATTTTGCAAATTGTTGTGTTCGGGAAAGACGTGCTTTGGGAGCTGGTTCTGAAGAGCATCTAACGTTGTTGTATCGGTAAAATAGAGTCGGTTCAGCCACCTTCCTTCTTTATGCCGAACTGTGCAAACTTCTTCCTATCAGACGAATGGCTATGTTCTGGATCCCATCAAACAGTTCCAAGTTGTGTTTGGGGGTAGAACTACACATATGTGAGAAATACTCCAAAGACAGACGAATTTGGGCCTTGTAGAGCATAAGAAGCTGTTCCGGTGTATACAGCCTCTTGGCCTTAAACACAGCACCAAGTTTTTAAGTGGCCGCTCAAGCTATCCGCGTGACATGATTATGCCAAGACATATTGCTTCTAACCTCCACGCCCAACAACCGCACCGAAGCAAAGGGGGCTACAGTGGCAGCCTTCTTTGTGAAAACAGCAGCCTGAGTCTTGGTTGCAATTAATTCGATCATATTGCTTCTACCCCACCTTAAAATGATAACGTTAAGATCTGAGTTTATAGTTGATCTGATGACGCTTACGGAACTGAGCGTCGGCAGAAGTCATTGGGATAGTCGATTTAAAGAAAGACACCTGTGTGCAAAGCTATAAATTGGAATAGAAGTTCTGCCTAGCAGATTGTTGATATATAACAGGAAGAGGGTGGGGGACAGAATGCATTTCTGGAGAACCTCGGCGTTGGTTATGAACCTTTCTGAGGTGTGTCCATCTACGGCGCCCTGGGCCCGTATTCTCTTGAGAGAACGCTGTTCCCCGGTTACGAGAATACGGACCCTGGATGGATTGGCCTTTGAGAAAGCTGCTGAGTCATCTAACGAGAGTCGGTGAAAAGACGTAAGAACCAAGTTTGTTTGGGAGGCTTTCATGCCACACCCTGTTGAATGCCTTTGAAATGTCCAGGGCTATTGCGCGGGATTAACCATGTTTCTCGATAGCCTCGGTCCAAATATAGGTGACATAGGCCAACAGATCACCCGTTGACCTATGTTCACGAAACCCATATTGATGGTCGCTTATAAAGTTTGTGGATTCCAGGTATTTCAAAATTTGCAGGTTTACGAGTTTCGCCATTATTTTGGCGGGACTAAAGCAATCGGACGGTGGTTGTAAGCTCCGTCTTTTTTTGGTATTGGTTGAATCCACGCAACTTTCAAGTCTTCAGGGAAGATACTTTTTTTCTATATAAGAGAGAAAAAATGTGTTATACATGTTAGAATAATGCAGATTGGGTAACCGGTGACGTCACGAAATACCAATTAGCTGCGGCTATGAACTAACCTCAATATGGACCATAACCTTGATTTGTTTTTGTCAGATTTTGGGTTGTTGATAAAAATGCCAATTGACCTATCTCGCATTAATAGAAAAAGAGGGCTTTATTGTAATAATTACAAGTTAGAAAGTAATAAAAGATGACATGCACGCGCAACTAGTCGGCTGCAGTGTAGCCAGATTTTATTGTTGCAGAACAAATGTTGACAATACAAATCGAACATTTCAACAATTAATAAGTGATATAGTGTCAAGTGTTTTACAACGCCTGAAATAAGACAAAAGAAGAGCTTTAAACTGTCTGTCAACATCGTTTGCACTTTTATTTTGATAAATGTTCCATCCGGCAACATCGCACAATGAAATTGAAAAGGAATATGTCAAGTATAATCTAACATAATCTTAAACGACACTGCGGTGAGTTCTAGAAGTAATACGTGGACTGTAACAAACTAGCTTCTCATTGGACGCTCACCTGCAACCCACGAGTTGCGCGCGCAGTCCAGGTAAAAAAAGATAGGTCAATTGCAACTTGCAACGCCAGTCGGGAAGAAGTGCGTGGTGCTTGAATTTTAATTTGTCAATCCTCGTGTATTGACTTTAAAGAGAGTGAATAATATTGTGATAAATCAGCCTGACTCAAGAGAGGACTTGAAATTACAAATAGAGAGTCTCTTAGGCCCAGTTGTACAATCGCGGTTCAAAACAAAATTCAACTGAACTCGACTGGTACTTGAGCTTTCCCATTTAAAATACATTGCTGTCAGATAATAATTCAATTCTATCAATTTTGGCAGCAATGCATTTCAAATGGGGAAGTCGAGTTCAGCTGCTCTGTTTTGAACCAAGATTGTACAACTGGGCCTTATTGTTAAAATAAAACTCCTGATCATATTACCACCGGTGAAATGACAATAAACTTAAAAGACACTTCTCCAGTGACGTATCGTGCTCGTAAGTTAGCGTACCAAGAACGACTACAAGATAAAAACATTATTGACGACCTGTTAATTGCGGGTATAATTCGTGAAAGTCGATCAGAATATGCAAGCCCCATAGTGCTAGTATTAAAAAAAAAATGGCGAAGTTCGAATGTGTGTGGATCTGCCTGACGTCAACAAGACGGTAGTTGAAGAAAGATACCCATTGCCACATATTCAAGGCCAGACCAATGCCCTTCGCCATGCTAACTATTTCAGCACATTAGACATGAAGTCCGGGTTTTATCAAATGGAAATCGAAAAAAAAAATCAAGGCACATTATGGCATTCATTACCCCTGATGGGCACTATTAATTTAATCGTATGCCGTTTGGATATGTCAATGCCCCTGCGATATATCAACGGGCGATTGACAAAGCATTGGGTAACTTAAAAGGAACAAAAGCATTATTTGTTTATCTTGATGATGTTCTACTGCCTTCAGATAGTGTTGAAGAAGGACTACAAAACCTAGATGAAGTAATTAATGCTCTATCCACTCATGGATTTGCTTTGAACTATCAAAAGTGTAAATTTTTTGCTCAGGATACTGAATATCTTGGACTTATCTCAAGTAGGGGATCAGTGCGACCCAATCAGCGCAAGGTAAATACTTTAACTCAAACGCCTATTCCGACAGATGTGAAAAGCGTAAGATAGTTCATGGGACTCGCTAGTTATTTTCGTTGGTTCATTAAAGGATTTTCAGAGCTAGCCGCACCAATTACGGCTTTGTTACGAAAAAACTCTGTGTTTAACTGGTCTCTTAAGTGCGAAAAAACACGACAATTAATTTTAAATAAATTGACTGATGCGCCGGTATTACGAATTTTTAATCCGAATTTACCTTGTGAGTTGCATACGAATGCAAGTTCAGTTGGTCTAGGAGCTGCTCTGTTACAAAATAAAAATGGTGAGGTTCGTCCTGTCGCTTATTTCTGTCGTCGTACGACAGATTATGAAGCACGTTATCATTCATATGACTTAGAGACATTAGCTGTTGTCGAAGCTGTTGAACATTTAGAGTTTATTTAGTATGGGATCCATTTCACGATTTACATCGATTGTAATGCAGTGTGGTAAGAAAGTGGCCCATGTAGTCTACTTAAGCCATAATCCAATAGACATTGAAAATATGTTAGAAGTGTGTGTACTGAAGACCCTTCCTGTGACTAAAATATCAAATACAAATACCTTGAGATAATTCCGGCTACGCGGCTGTATCACGACGAATTGACGCACATAGTGCGTTCAAACATGACTACAAAACTCGTGTCATTAGAACGACTCGGTCTACGACCTCGTCGTTCTAATCTTTCACACTCGTTATTGTATTCATGTTCATAAACGCACTTGTAATGTTAATAACTATTTAACAACTATCATCGTGTTTATTTTGGATATAAATAATACGATGATGTTATTTCAGTTGCACACTTTTTGATACCATAGCTGGTATTCCATCGGGCTAGTAGCTTTGTTTCTGTTTAAGCCTTTAGGAAGTTTTTCAAGATCTCTGTGACGAAAAACAATTGTAGGTCTAAGGTAGAGTTTGCAACAAACATCTCTCTCCCAGTAGGTAGGTACGTTAGCCTTTTCCGTTCCAGTCACTGCGATGAAACCATGTTCTTCAGTCAACGGTGGAATCCTTGGTTTACAGAAACCTTGGCCAACTGATTTTGCTGCAGACCAGATATTGATCTATTTGGCAGTTGAGCAGCTTGTTTTTCACTGTCTCGTTATATTTTTCTTTGCTAGCATCGATCATCTGCTTACACGTGTTTCTCAGGGCAACAAAATTTCCACGATTTGCATCGTTTTATATTCAAGCAGTAGAAAGATACAGTGACCGTGAATATTTATCATATCTACCAATATCCGACAACTTCTATTGTGAAATCTCCGACAGCAGACAGCAGTTTCGCGGTATGTGGGACAGGATTCAATCTTATTAAAAAAAAAGTGAAATGATAGTTTCAACAAAAAAAAAAAACAGCTTCTACAGAAACATCCATTTTCTATCAAATGCTTATTTATTTCATATACATGACATGGGGTGAAGCATTCAAACAAATACATTTATTTTTACCCATATGCATTACCCAAGCAATTCATTTCCGTTTACATTTTTATTCCTATTTTACAAAATTTAAAGCTTTGCGAGCGTTATGTTCTGTCTCGTATAAATATCCTGGCTCCATTTTTCGAAATTAATATAGTTTCAGAGGCTAATTGAAGTTTATGGTGCGGTTTGGCTGGCAAAAGTTCAAAGTTTCTCACTACTTTTGATACGGCCGACAACATCTCCAGCATTGCGAATTTTTGCCCTTAAAATAGGAATTGCTGCATAAGAATAATATGTAGGTATTCAAATTGGTACTTTTACCTATACAATTTCTAGATCCAGCACTAAACGGTGTATAACTATAGGGAAGTTTGGTATTATTCGCTAACTCGAATCTCTCAGGGATAAATTTATCTGGCTCGGGAAAATATTTGGGATTTTGTTGGAATCCATAGAGAAATATTACTACGGATATACCTTTCGGATATAAGGATCCCTCTAAAAAAAAATTATTAGTGTCAATTTATTTTTGTGACGATTAAAAATGATTACTAAATTCCAAATCATGGGCCAAGCTTCTAGCAAAGAACGGCACCGACGGATATATCCTGAGGGTTTCTTTGATAACCAAATCAAGGTATTTCATTGCGTTGAGCTGTTTGTACGTGGGGGTGGCCGATTTAAGATCAGATCCGAAAATTTCAACTTGTTCTTCGATAACTTTTTGCTAATAAAATAAACTATCTTTAATTTTACTTTTTGGTTGTTCAGTCATTACCTGTGCATCGGGGTTTGTGGCCAGCATAAATAGACAAAAGGTGATTGCAGAAGCTGTGGTGTCGTGACCCTAGAATAAAAAAAAAAAGATACCCTGACATTGATGACCGGCTGAAGTAGTACTTGGTGAAGAAAATTGTAAATTTGCTGCTCAGCAAGTATAGGAAGGTAAATACAAATTATTTCAAACCTTCACCTTTGAGACTTGAAACAAGTCGGTAAGTAATTGATACGGAAAAATGCCTATACTTTTTCGGCTTTGAGTAATAGTCATTAAAATTGGTTGTCCCAGGTATGTGAACTGACCTTTTCTCTCGATATAAAGAATCACCCAGTGTTAGGTATCTTTCTATATTTATTTGTTCTGTTTTTGTGCGTAATTGTATGATGTTCGTTGCCATACATGTTTCCTATAAATTCCTTATACCTTGAGTCTAAAGGGTGTCTCAACAAGAACTTGAAATTCAAATCGCGCCCCATTTCAGTCTGTCAAGCGTCAAGTCCGCCATATTGGGCACTTGTTTCGGTGAACACATTGACATTTACTAAAATGCCGCGTTACACTCTTGAGGAGCGTTTATTAATTATTGTAAAAACTCACTCTGCAGAAATAGAGAAAACTACACTGACAAAGCGCTCGTCGCGGCCCACTGTTAAAAATTTGATCAACAAATTTGAGCGGACATTTGCATTGGAAGATAAAACAAGTGTTAGGCGTCGTCACTGTGGAAGGTCTGCCGAGAACTTCGCCGCCGTGAGAGCCAGTGTTAGCGAACATCCGGTATCGCAACCACGAATTTTGGAAAAGAATTTGAATCTCAATGTCATTTGCACAACTGAATAATCTCAAAAGAAAGAAATAAATAGGCGTCAATATCGAGAAAGAATTAGAGACGATAGCGAAACCGGTACAAAGGGAGAGGACGTTGAAAGAACATGGAATGCTTTGAAAACGAAAATAACATCGTATACTTTCAGTGCATGATTTGCCAGCTGCTGATGCTCAATACCATTTTTTATATGCATAAAAGAGCTATATCTTCCCAAACGCGAAACAAAAACACAAGGTAGACCTAGAAGTGATGAGGATGGAGAAATGCAATATATTTTCAAATATCTTGAAAACAGTTCTGAAGAATGCCAGTTCACAATCGACGAACTAATAAATGAGATTGAAGGTGACTGTCTTTCTCATCCAAGAACAGTAAAACAACGCCTCCTTGAGAAGGATGGCAATGATATATTTATAACAGCCAATATGCCTTATATTGTATGTTTCAAAGGTACAGGTCACAAGATTATTACTGAAACTTGGTATCAGGAGAGGTTGTCATAGAAGGAAGAGAGAATAAAGATTGATAAAACAGCAGCTGCTATTATTGTTGAAGATGCACGCTCTCAAGTGTATAATTTGACACAGTGGCGGTTCGTCCATATGGGCAAGTTGGGCACCGCCACCCTGGAGAAAAAATGAAAAAATAAAAAATACTTTCAATTTGATATTTGAAAAGGAAGTGACCTTGAAAAAATCACCTACGGCTGTTTTTTTTTTTTTGTCGCCCACCCTCACTTAGAAACCACGAGCCGCCACTGGGGCATGGTGGGCACCGCCTCCCTGGAAAGAAAATGGAAAAATAAAAAATACCTTTAATCAAAGATAATCCTACTTTGGAGTAGGATTATCTTTGCCTTAATACAATATTTGAAAAGGCCGCGACCTTGAAAATCTAAAAAAAAATTGCCCATGGCTGTTTTTTATTTTTGTCGCCCACCCTTTCTTGGACACCACGAGCCGCCACTGATTTGACACAGTACCCTCCAGCATCTAATCCCAGAATCTCTCCGAGTCTTTACAGATGCTGTAGTAATGAGCAAGAAAAAAGGAAATTTTGAAGCATGGAAGAAGTAATTGTAGCAATTAAGCTACTTTGTCATTCTATTATTATTTTAAGTATGTAAATTTATTATATTATAGGTGTTTTTAATTGTAATCACTGGTATTGCTGTATATATTAATTATTGTAATGCGTTTAAAGCAACTATACTTACTTCCATCTAAATTTATGTTTAGATTGCAATTAGGAATCAACCTGATTTTTAAGTAAGTACTAATTCCATTCAGGTGGCACCATACCATCCTGCAATTATTTGGATTGCGCACGGCCTTGCTTTAGGACGGGCCACTCTTCCTTGGCGGCTTGGTTAAGCCAGTCGACGTCAGTAACGTCAGCGAGTCCTTTTGTTTTCTGGCGAACGTGCCAAGTTTTCTTAAAAAGTTTCTTGAATGGGTGAATCCTTCAAATTTCTCTGTGTGGTTCGGAGTGCCATTTATTGCTAATTTAATAGAGAGTTTATTTGTCCACTCGGCTATTTTTTTGTGATTTAATTGGAACATGCCAGGTAGGTGACAAACTCTATTATATCTTGAACATCCCTTAAGTTTACAATAGGGTACTTGCATCAAATTTTTTTATTGCTGATTTCGTTAGTCCATAAAAAATAAGTCAACACGTGTTTTTTCTTTTTCTTCTTAGTCAAAAGTTGACGCAGATACAACGCCATGAAATATGCCTATGACGTCACTTATCATATAAATTAGTGACGTTGCACATGCTCAGTATATCTATATATACAAAACTTAATTAAATTAAATAATTAAAAAAAGTAACGATTTTTTTTCGATTTCCTACAGCTTGCAATAAACAATAATCAATTTAATTTTCCATGCAAGTACCCTATTATTTATCCAGCCTATCTTTATCTGCAACCACCTCTGGTGATGCCAGTTCCTGTATTGTGTACTAAATCATGGTATAGGAGCCCCTTGTTCAGTTTGAGTCATGTACTTTTGTGTCTTATTATAAACTTAATCAGTAGACAAGTTTTTGTCTATTCCACCTTTCTTTTAATGAAAAAGATACCATCAGTTATTTAATTTTCTGATAGGCTCCTACATCCTACAGGCCTAGTTTTGGGCCAATTCAATAAAGACGGCTTGCTTTCATGGTCCCTGATGGATAGTGCCTTATTGTCCCGGATGACACCTCGACTTGGAAGTAGTGACTACAGGTTTCTTTGGGTTTAAATTTTACCTTTTATATTATATTTTTTATTGAGCATTACCTAATTGGAATGTCTCACTTCCATGTTCAGTTCGCTGTTCGGCTGTGCATGTGAATTTTTAGAGCAGAAGACTCGACGAAGTCGTTTTATATTTTTACTGAGCATTACCTAAATGGATTGACTCATTTCTATGTTCAGTTCGCTGTTCGGTTGGGCATATGAATTTTCAGAGCAGATAGACCCAACGAGGTCATTTAATATTGTGTATTTATTTATTGACCATTGCCTAATAAATGGAATGACTCGTTTCTATGTTCAGTTCGCTGTCCGGTTGAGCATATGAGTTTTAAGGGCAGATAGACCAGTAGAAAGGGTCCCAATTTAGGTAAAATGATCGATCATTAATATTATTTTACACAATGATATTAAGTTAAGTTACTGGGTTGGAATCAAGTTATTCTCACATTTATGATTCTTGTTAAATTGACATCCTATAGATTTCCCGACCAGAAATACTTTCCGATGAACAGCTGCCGTAAGCAATAACATCTTCTCAATCCAAAGTAATTAAAAACGTTACAAAATCCCTTGCGATAGCCGATTGCTTACTTACAGCCATAAGGCCAAAGTCATATAGGTATATCTCTTCTGCAAGTGGGCATTCCAACATTTTTGTTCAAGAATTATGGTTCACGGAGGTTAAACGTTGTGCTGAGTTCATTTGGATTTTGTTCATCGTACACAGAAGCCGTACGTTTTGAAATGTCTTCTATGTCGCAATCACCTCTAACTCTTAGTAAACAAGCACGATTGGTCTACGATAACATTGAATTCAACATCCGAACTATTGACGGGCACAACACATTCCATTCTATGGGTGGCATCATTTGTGTCACTCCAAAGTCGAGAATGGTTCCGGGTCCCCACATTGATCGGTTAAACGATATACCTTCAGCAGAAACTATTGGACGTGTCGAAACTGTTTCGGTAAAAGTGTTTGAAAAGACAGGGCCAGGCTTAGCTGCCGTTGAAATCAATCCTCTAACTCCGAATTTCGGGCACAAAACCGTAGTCACCTTCTCTGTACCACACTTCTGTGACTATACGGAACAAATAACAAATATGGATTTCTTGGGCATTGGTGAGTGGAATGGGTTTATAGAAAACGTAACAAGGAACAAACCACAAGACATCACATATACTGATTGCCAGCCATTCATCAATTCACCACCAAGTGACTATAATACAGTCTGCACTGCTTCACTGAGTAGTGTTGAAACATAAAAATCGTTAAACCATAACAAACCATCACTTTCGTCATATTCGATTAACCACTGTACCTGAAGGCACGGGAGACCCCAAACTGCAACATCTGATTATACGGCTGGGTGGATTTCATTGATTAATATTATTCATGGGAGCTGTGGGTTTTTTAATGCAAGACTGGATTATCGGAACTTTTCAACCTTATTTACGCTGCTGTTAGCACCGCAAAATTGATGACAGGTCACGCCGCAAAGGCGGTCAGAGCACACATGCTAACTCACAGGATTCTAGCATCAATAATACTGGAAACAACTGATTTTTCTACTTCATTTCGATTCAAAATTGAGCAAATTTTGTACCACTTTGACCGATCGAAAATTCTGAACGCACATGAGAAGGATTGCGTTAAGGAACTTGCTTTCAAATTTGAAGACAAGCTTAACCAACTCACAGGACTAGGGCCCACTGCCAAGTTGTGGAGTCGGAGTCAGTACTTTCAAATGGTTGCACTAACCTTAGATTTCATAGATGCAGAGAGAACAGGCAACTAGGCTTCACACCTGGAAACTATCCATGACATGCTTTCCTATTTCCATGCCAGTGGGCACTTTCTGTATGCGAAGTGCTGCCACCTGTATTTACAGGATATGTTGGAGCTACAATACACTACGCCTCCTAATGAATTAAAAGCCTTCACTTTGCAAGGCGGGTTCACTATTCGGCGAAGCCATAAGTTTCGTT